AGTTGGCATGTTTTTAACATTTTGTTTCCAGGCCGGGGGCCTCAAACTACTTTCCAAAAACCCGGGACACAAAAATGTCTTTCACATTGACCAAACTGACTATACCATGGCAAAACCCACACTAATGTTTGACAATCATGATGACTATAGATATTTGAAACAGAAATGAGGAGTTATGGGCATTCCCTGCAGTCAACATGTAGCAATGTCATTGGGCAAGTTGCTTAAATTGCTCCTGTAGGCATGTTAGTGGTATTGAAGTAAGTTGCTTTGGATAGAAAGCGTCAGCCAAATAAAATGTAATTTGAGGAATATGGATTTGGAAGAATGTCTAGCAATCAATCCTACAGTGGTTTTATTCTACTGAACATTCAGAACAGTATAATACAAAGGAGAGGAAAGGGAGAGAGGAGCACAATATATATTTCCCATACGTATGTATCCCCCTGTCAGAGCAAAAATCCTGCTTGCACATGACCCCCAGGTAATTCAAATCTGAAAACCTCTGCTGTAGCCATTCATTTCCCCTGAACAGCTCATATCCACCTGTCATGAGAGGCTGGCTCAGGCTATGCCCTGGAGTTGTCTTTGGCTCCCAGTTTCCAGGGTCAAGCTGGCACATCACTCTTCAACACTCTGTATGTCTGATGTATGCTTTGGCACGCGAGCAGTACTAAAGGCACGGCTGGTAAGAGCGCTGTAACGGTTAAATGATACACTTAGCGAGCCAGCTAGAGAGTGCAGGAGACGTTAAACAGCCTATACAGTTATTTTGTCACCTAAACATGTCGCTGTTGAACTTTCTGATTATGTGTGGGGTTGGGCTGCACATATTGCTAAATGCTCGAAACACTGATGGGTTTAGCATAAAGACGAGAGGCATTACATCACTATATTAACAACATTCACTCCAAATGTTATTGTCACTACTAACTATTTTTTTATAGTCGGGGAGTTTAATGTGGTTTGGTGTGTTCGTCCCTAATTCTTATGATAAAATAAATTAGGTTTTACCATGACTCTTTCGTTCTTCTAGATGGGATCAAAGGTCAAGTCTGATATGACATTTAATATCACATACCATATACAATGTCACTCAATCTCGATTATCAACAAAAATACATGAGACCACAGAATGCTTTTGGCTTCTGTGTAACTAAGCATGTCTTGCAAAGAGCCGATTTGATTTATAAACATCGTCATTTTCTGCCTTTTTCTTTATTTGGATGTGTTTTTATTTGATGCGCCTGAGAGAAGGTGTTAAATATTTGAGTATGGCTCCCATTTCTCTTTCATTGCCATTGATACGTTTTAAGTGCCAGATGTAGCGGAGTGCCTGCTGTCTCTGCGTTTTAAAGTGCTCAAGGCTTTTCACAACTGCTGAATGTTTGGGGTTGATAACAGAGTACAAACACTTTTTTATTATATAGATTGCTATGATATAAGCCCTTGGAATCAAATATGTTCCGACTTACTAGATCTGTAAAAGAAAAGCTCACTTCAGTGCCACCAGGTAACAGCCGTGTCTTCAAGTTTGTTTGTCTTTGTTATCTTCGGTTATCATGGGGTTGGTTGTTGAACTACAACCCAATAGTGAGGGTGAGCCAAACTGTTTTATGAGTATGAGGTAATGCAGTACTGTGCTGGGATTTTATATAACTGGCCTTAACTTGGCACTCACTTATAGTAACCAGATATTTGAAATTAGGCTTAGCATCTCAATACATTTAGTTGTTCTTGTTGTTGCTCTTCCGATGAATTTGGTCATTTGTTTTGAATGCTTTGTTGAATGTTCATAGGTGGTCTTTATACAATGTAGTGACTGAGCTCTATAAATCAAATGGTAATTATAGCCGTGGAAAGCAACAACAACCCTTAGTTGGTCATTGATGTAATGAATGATGGTCTACATTGTTTCGTAATGGTGTAAGGTTTGTCCTCTAGGAGTTATGTATGTTGAGCAAGACTTCCTTGACAGAAGCTGATGATAAATTCTACTATTTACTGTTGAAAATGTGTGCACTGGTGTCTTTGCTTAGGACAGACGTGCACTTTTCACACAGACACATTGAACCCCTACCCTCACTGTGGTATCAAGATGTTAGATTCCACACGTATTGTATCAGTTTGTTGTCTGAGAGATGAAAGCAGTGCGAGTAGTGTCAAAAGCTTAAATGAGCTTCGGCCAACAACGGTAAAGATGACATAAGTTGGAATTTGGCAAGGTGAGAAAATGGTTTCCTCATTTGGCTGTTGTTGAAGCTTAAGAGCTTTGGGTTCTTTACGTAACCCTCATGTCTCTGATTATCACCTCCCTGAGCGACATCATCCGCAGCTCCTTTCACACTCAGCCAGCCAGGACTCAAACACATGCATGTTTGTGTGTCCCCTAACAATATATGTCAGGGAACTGTACCAGACCTTTGGTTTAACTGTAACACGTGCCAAAACATATAAGATAGATCCGGTGGAAGTCTTACTTGACGGTATACTTTATATTCATGTTTAACAATTAATGGGGGGATTGAAATAGTATGCACTGTCTTTTAACGTTGGTTGTACATAGGTTGCCTCACTGCCATTTAGAGTTGCCTTTCTCAAATGAGTTAAGATGCTATACAAATACTTATGAATCGTGCGCTGTTTAGTGCCAAGAAAAGCATTTGATTCTTGAGCAAATAAGTTTTCAGTATGCGTGTTCATTTGACAGGATGTCCTGTTATGTTTATCCAGCATATCTTATAGGTAATCATTGCTGGCCTTATTATGCATCCAACACTCCCCCTGCTGGTGAAACTCCATCCCTGCACCGTGAAAGCTTTTGTTAAATGTCCTAAGAAAACCTAGAAAGAGCAAGGATAGCCAAATAACAACTCCTCCTACACATCATTTGGAAAGCTTGTAAATCTATTAAGACACCCTTCAAGGACTTAATCTTATCTTTATTTCAACATCATTTAGGCATTGTAAAAGACTTTCCATTAACAAGTCCCTGGATTAGTGTCACAACAAAGCAACAAGTGATTGAATACAAAGTCAGAGTGTTAAGACAATGGGCTAAATGGGCTGGACAATGAGTTTGTAACCAATGGTTTTTACTCTGCCTCTCTGCCATGCCACTGCAGCCTGCTTGTTAATGTTGTGCATGCCGCCTTAAGTCCCCATTGATTTAACAATAACACATGCTCAGATTGTGGCTTTAGAGAGGAAGCCGCAGGCCTCCAAAACCAATAACTGCTACACCCCCTCCCCCACCCGCACCACTTCTAGGATCAGTCAATACCTCATGTCTTGGGAAGTGTTATTGATTGTTTACACCAGTGCTGATTTAATTTCATATCATGATATTGGTTTTTTTATAGAAGCACACATCAGAAATATCAGTCTCTTTAGGGGTGGGGGTCTCCAGGCCTGTAAGGACACGTGGTTGGAGGATATATGGTTTGTCTTATGCCTCTGTAAAGGCTACATTGGTATCTTTGATATAACGTATAGAGTTAAGCAATATGGTCTCAATCTTTTATCCCAATTTCATATCTCAATTAGGATATATTTCACAATATATTATGTTCCAGCTAGCTTAGCACTTTTTACTGTTGTTGTTGTTTTGTGTCTTCTTTACATGCTTGTAAAGCGCTTTGAGCACCAGGAAAAGCGCTATATAATTGCAAAGTATTATTATTATTATGTTCAATTACTACATAAGGAAATAACAACATGGTAAAGCCTATTTTAGTTTATCCCTGTGATCTTTTGTTCTATCATTAAGAACTTTACTGCAAAAATATCCACAACAAATGATTTATAAAATGTAGAAATACATCTTGCCAGCTATACACTGATCGCATTCATCAAAAAAAAGATCATGTTGAATTATTGCCCAGCCCTATTAGGCACAGTGCCAGTTTAGACGAGTGAGCACATCCCCCTTAAAAATGACTAACCCTATCTGAGTGCTATTTGTCTGGAACTGAAAAGATCCACCGTTTCCTGTAACCAGTCGATTGATCCTCTTTCCATCCAGTCAGCGCCATTTACCATCCATTAAAACATGTCACCCCTATTGATCTTCCATTAAGAAGAAGCCGAGTGGCACCATTTTCCTGCATTTGAGCCATTGACTTTCATTGATCTATGGTTATCTGATCTGTAAGCGCATCACCCTCTGTGCTTCTGAACGCATTCTCTTTTCCTCCATCTGGAGCCATTGTGGTACGGAGTATATCGTGCGTAATGGTTAAGGGGCATTGGAGTTGGAGTCCTTGTCATAAATCTGGTCTCTTTAGTCGCCCATTAAGACGTGTTAAACAAGATTCTGTGCACATCTTTCTAAGCTGATTAAGGTGCTTATTAGTTCAAGAAAAGCTAACATCCAAGAGTAAATGAGAAAACTAATTGAATGATTTCCAGCCTTTCAAAAGAGACCGACTCTACTGTTTCTTTATCAGAGTCCAAATGGACAAAGACACAACACCAATCATTGTGCTCCAGTCCCATTTGTTCCCCCTTGGAGCATTTTAGACTTAACTCGGTTTCCTCATTACCATTTTATTAAATCTGGTTTTCATTTATTTAACATCTGGCAAATTTGTCACAACTATCCATTTACCATTTTTATGTTGCTAAAGGTATTAGGCATTTGGTATTACATTTAATGCAAATGATGCAGAACGGAGAGATTTTCCTGCCCTCTCACTTTACTACTACATCTGCAAAATCCAATGATATCATGCAATATAAAGAGTGGTGACAAATTAAAGGAAAAAATGTGAATCGTTGAGTGTAAAAGTGAGAGAACTTGGTCCAACAGTGTTTTTACCACTGTCATATTTCTGGTGGCCAGTGGCAGCTCAATACCTTACTTACCTATCTTTTTTTTACACTCGCAGTGAAGTATAGAGCCACGTTATGGTGTTTTAATCAGTGATGTGCCTTTCGTCCATGCATTAATAAGTCAGATGCTAATTACAGAGCGATTGGATGTGATGATTGGATGAAATTACATTAAATTGGGCCCCGAAGCCTCCATCAATGTAAAACTCTCCTATTAAATGTTGTGCTTTGACAGCATTTATGAAGATGGAGAAAACCACATGTAATTGTCTGAGGACCACAGATGGAAATTAGCTATTAGCTATAATCTCGCATATTGCATCTCTTCTCTTTGCTGAG